GGGGGGGGGGGGGGGAAGATTTGACCATACCTTATCGTAAATATTATCATCTTAATTAATCAGACTGTGTCTTGTATAGGCCTAGGCTTATACATGTACTTTATTATTTGATCTGGTCATGTAACATATTGTTTTATAATCTGATCTTGTCTAATTTATCAGTATCTGATATTGTTGTAGATATTATATCATCTTTTCTGATTTTATCTTGTCTTATATCATCCTAAAATCTAGTTTGATCGTATATTATATGATCTGATCTGATCATATTTTGTATGGTCTGATCTGATCGTATCTTGTATGATCTGATCTGATCAAATCTTATATGATCTGATCTGATCGTATCTTGTATGATCTGATCTGATCATATCTGATATGATCTGATCTGATCTGGTTGTATTTTATTCTGATCCAATGACCTCCCCAGAGGTCACCCCCCAGAAGTGTCCAAGTTCGTCAACGACCAGTCAGTAGACGCGACCTCCTCCTCTATCCTTGTCACCAGCGGGAGCGGCAAACACTTGCTAGCAGACTACAACAACCACCACGACGATGATGATGATGATGACGACAGCATGACAGCGACTACATCAGCGGTGGCCGATGTGGTGGTGACGGGGGAGTACGGTGGTGGTAGTGGTGGATCGGGGAAGCTGGTTCGAATCCGAGCGGAAGCTGATGCAGCTATGAGGAAGTTGGAGGAGAGTCATTTGTCGCTGGATTTGAATAACCAGAAGGATGTTAAGGTAGGTGTGTGGGGGAATGTGTGTGTGTGTGTGTGAGAGAGAGAGAGAAAGAGAGTATTTCTCTGTATTTTGCCCTCCTATATTTTTCAAATACACATATTTTCCTTTGTTTTTTTCCAATAGTAGATCTATGTTTTCTCTTCCTATTCTCTTTTTTCTGTCTCTCCCCCACCCTGTTTTATTTAGATCTATCTCTTTTTACTTTAATTTTTTTTCCTGTTTTTTTTTTCTTTTTTCATCTGTATTTTTCCTTTCTGTATATTTTTCCTTTCTGTATATTTTTCCTTTCTGTATATTTTTTGGTGTATTTTTCCTATGTACTTTTTTGTCTTTTTTTCCCCTGCGTATTTTCTCTTTTTTTTTCATAATTTATTTTTTATATTTTTTAAATGAACTATTTTTAAACTTCATTTTCTTCGTATGACAATCCAGGTTGAACTGGAACAGATGCGACGTCATTTGAGGGAGGAAAGATTGGCGAGGGCACAGGCTGATCACAGGGTGATGCAGGTGAGT